TTAAGTGTTTTCGTGCGCGGGCAAAATCCTTTTGCGGTTCCAGTCGCCCTCTGGCCAGAGCAGAAGTTGTGGAGCTTAGCTAAGACCAAGGCGCTCTGTCCATGTGCTTACGTGCATATGAATGTGGAGCGTAGAGAAAATCAATTATAAATTAAACATTTATTAAAGAAAGCATTGACTTCGCTTTTGCCTTTGCCTCTGCCTTTTGCTTGAGCTCAGGCAGCGCAACTAGAGCTACGACCCACTATGCCTATGCAAATCAAGAGCGGCATAAATAATGCGACATCATTATTTAGGCAGGTAGGCGAAAGAAATATGTATATACGGAGAGGCTGAGATGCTGAGAGAACGTCTTGTCGTATAGCCAGCGCGGGCAGCCAAGCCAGCCAAGGCAACCAAGCCAGCCAGCCAGCCAGCCATCGTTCCATCCATCCATCCATCAATTATGTTGAAGTCGAGCTTTGCCTTTTGGCAGCTGCTTAAATGTGATTCCACTCATTTCGATTGTCTCTCGCTTGATTATGCACATGCATTTGGTAGACGCGCTCGTACATCAAACTCAAATAAATGCGGCCTGCATGCATATATATATATATATATATATATATATATAGGTATACTATATACATATATATGCGATCTACACATATGCTGATAGATGTTGAGTATAACTGATTTGTGTGAGTATATCTGCATTGGTAATTTGCTATAAAGTGAATTTAATATGGCACGCAGTTCTCTCCATCTCTCTCTCTCTCTCTTTTCCTTCTCTATGCAGATGGGGTATACCTGCTGCTTGATTCACATTAGCTTGCTGCTGTCTTTGAGGTATTCACTCGTCGTGTACACCCGACTAGAGCATTTTTATGTATTCTTTCTTTTTGTTTTGTTTGCATTTGCACATGCGCAGCAGGAACTCCACAGATGTTTTGCATGCGAGATGAGCGAGATTTTACTGCTCTTTTTCTTGCTCTGCTATTGCTTTGCATTTACATCGATAAGTAGCCAGAGACGACAGACGGATAGAACAGCTGCCAAAACGATAGCGGCTGCATGTACTACGAGTATTCGAAAATCTAAAGATATAATAAGTTTAAAGTTTAGAGATTAATAAGTTGACCACGTGTTTCGCTTAATAACTTTTGAGTTACAGAATGGATATCAATGAAATTTTCAGCATATTAGCTGTACACTCTATAGAAAATTAATCAAATTTCGAAAATTCCCTGAACTTTCAATTTTTAGTTATCTTTGCGGGTGAATTGCAATTGAAGACAACTAACCCAGCTTGTCGCCTGGGTGGAATCTGCCATGGCTACTTCTGTCAGTTATATGAATTTCCACAAAGCGATTATACCCTGATCTTCAATTTTTAATTGGTATATAAGCATTCAACCCTCATTGTATGTATATGAATATTGTATTTCCAAAATGTAGGCTACGAAGTGTTTGTCATTAGGTTTGATGCTTTGAATCCGGATTCAGATTTGAAATTCGTCAGTCTCCTTTCAGCAGCGACGGCGACAGAGAAATTTTATTATTAATTTTTCCGTTTTGGTTTCTTGGAAAAATTTTCAAAATTCCCAGTATTTATTTTTTGGACTAAAAAACATCCAGTAAATATGTCGTTATGGAAACAGACTTCTAAGGGAGCTCGTTGCCTGCTAGGACCAGCACGTAATATTGTTGTACGTCAGAGCTTTTCGAAGAAGCACAATCCTACTCCTACTTGCATGACCAAGAGCAAGAAGTCACAGGAGCAGTCCGGAAAGTGTGAAGATACCCATCCTAAGCCACGAGATGCGAAGACAATACGTCAAACCTTTCCCTTTTATAACCTCATTGAGTTTAGCCAAGAATGCTGTCCTGACCCATGCGCCGATTCGTTTCCCCCCTTCGATGAGTGTTTGTACAAGGAGTCGGACAAAAACAAGCGCAAGTACCAAGTCACCTGGTCGGAGTGTCCGCCAGTGGCGATTATGCCGAAGAAAATTTGCTGCTTTGAAAAGATTCAACGGGCCCCCGTTAACCGTCGTGATAAAAGTGAGAGGCCGGCCACGGCCTGCGAGCCACCGCCGTGCAAAAAAGCGACGCCTGCTGAGCTGGGATGTCCTAGGATTAAATTGCCACGCTGCGGCCCAGCCCGGATTCCACCCAGATGCCATCGGGTCCGCTTCCCCTCAGATTGCGTGAAAGTGAAGGCGCCGTATCCGGCCTTCTCGGAGTGTGCGCGCCCGAAGCTGCGCAAGAAGCGCAGGAGCGAATGCACCTGCCTAGCCGAGATACCCCAATGCGAGCTAAACAGAATTTTGAATAGACGCCTTGAAACCGGAAACATCAGCATGAACCCCTGCGAAAGGAAGCCTTGATTGCATGAAGGCATTTTGGTTGAATATCTTTTAAAAGACGACCGTGAAATAAAGATATTGATTTATAACTGTGTAGCACCTTTGATTTTTAATAAAATTACTTGTGATTCAACAAACGTTGACTTCGAGGACTTGTGCCTCGGTGAATTAATTGACGATCAAATAGATCAGTAGATCAAGCAAAGGAGGTCTTGGTTGCTGTAATGAAATTTAGTTAGGACGGCCATGAAATTGTTAATTTATTAATGACTTGACACTAGACTGGACTCATTTCATGTAGAATCCTGGAATGTGATTAGACAAATGTTTAGTCTTCAGTTGCAATGATTAAAGTAGTTCTGCCCCAGTGAATTAAGGATAAAATTGATTGATAGGTCAGAAACTATCGCTCGTATAAAAAAGTCCACTCTGTAAATGATTTATTTCGTAAGCAGAATTTTTGTTTTCTAATCATGGCAGGCCATGGCAAGATTCTCGTGCGACATTCCGATTGTGTTGGATGTGTGGCATCATTTCGTCACAATGAAAACAACTTTCGACTGGCAATAACATCAAATTCCAGTTTTTATTTTATTTTTATTTTCCATCTTTTTGTTTATCCTTGGGGGAAAATGTCTGGCATGCAGTCTATGGCGAGGGGCGTTGGTGCCATAGTCCAAGTAGGTCGGCGTTTCTCCACTACCTCAAGATTCTCGCTGCTGGGATCAGTGGGTGACAGCTACCACGGATTGCTACTGAAGCAGAAGAGCGCAGTCAAAAACATTCAGAATGTAAACCATATCAGCCGGCCGCTGGAGGATAAAACAACGCTTCGTCTAGTCTTGCAAAAGCTCGACGACAGAAGACACAAGATGACGAGCTCAACAGACAACGATGGGAATAGTTTCGGTCGAAAGCAATCGGATGATAAGCCCAGCGCTCTGAGTCCATACATACCATCAAAAAATAATAATCAAGAAAAGCTCATCTTCATAAGCGGAGAAATATTTCTTCCAGTACGACGGTCTGAGTTTGTTAGTCCAAGCGCGGAGGTCATCTCCATAGAAGAGGAGGAAGCCCCTGAGGATGAGGTGCCTGAGCCTATCAGCGGAGATCAAAAGATGGAGCAGGGCATCGAAGAAAAGAAAGAAAAGCCTATAGTTATGATTGAACATGTTTTCTACAAAAAACATAAGGACGAAAATCAAATCAGTGAGGTTGAAGCGATCTGCGAACATGAAAAAGTCGAAAAGCCAATCGAAGTGAGTGGGGAAATCGAATGGGGACAACAAAACGAAGAAAGTCTTGTGGGTTTGAGTGACGAACAGATCTACGGAAAACAGATCGAAGAAATGTCCCTTATTCAGGATTACGAGATCTTGAGTACAGAAGAAATGGAACAGCAAACCTCCGATGTGGCTGAAGAGATCACCAGTAGAAAACAGAGGGAAGAAAAGCCTATTCAAGATGAGGTCACCAACATGAAACAGAAAGAAGACGATGAGATCTTGAGTACAGAAGAAATTGAAGAGCAGCCCTTCGATATGGCTGAAGAAATCACCAGTAGAAAACAAAGGGAAGAAAAACCTTTCCAGGATGATGAGATCGTCAGCAGGAAACAGAAGGAAGAAAAGTCTTTTCTTCCAGACGACGAGATCTTAAGTACAGAAGAAATGGAACAGCAGACCTTCGATATCGCCGAAGAGATCACTAGTAGAAAACAGAGGGAAGAAAAACCTTTCCAGTATGACGAGATCGTCAGTAGAAAGCAGAAGGAAGAAGAATATTTTCATCAGGATGACGAAATCTTGAGTACAGATCAAGTACAACAGAAATCCTTCGATATGGCTGAAGAGATCACCAACAGAAAACAGAGGGAAGAAAAGCCTATAGGCAGAATAGAACACTCCTTTTTAAAAGAAAGCCCCGAGGTCGCTGAACGGACAAAGCCTGAGGAAATCTTCAGTAGTGATCAACGAAAAGAGAATCAACAATAGAACTGAAAAGGATGGAAATTTAATCAAAACAGGACCAGAGACCGTTTTACATGCACCATAAGGATATATGCATAAGATGAGTGTAACAAAGAAGAATTGGTAGTGCTAAACGATGAATAAGAAGACAAAAAAGCCATTGCTAACTTTTCTGTGTTTCCAAATAAAAATAAAAATAAATAGAAAATAAAAAATAAACGCCACAGATTAAAAATAACTTCTTTTGCTTTTAGAAGACTTTACTAGAGATTCTCATGATCGTATGGCATCATATCGAAGAATATTTTGTTTGAAAATATTTCTCATATTTGCTAAGCCTTTCAGTCTTTTTTTTTTACAAATTTATGCTCGGCCGCCATGCTCATCTATCATACATGATCTTAAAAAACAGTCATATAAAAATGTATATTATCGGTAAGAAAGTTCCGTCTATCCATCTGCATCTGCTTTGAGCATGAAATTCCTCAGCTATAACTTATCCATTTTCAGGAATTTCATTTGAATTAAAAATCAAAATAGCTTTTATTTATGTTCAAATAAAAAACCATTAAAGATTGGGCATATCTTTTTATTGGACTATAGCACTTCTACTCTATGTCGATTTACCGCAATCGAAGAAGCCCTTGCATGAATATATTTCCAAAGCATTTGGCTTTCGATGTGAACAGTCATAGCTACGGCGCTTGCTGCTCCGAACCTTTCGGCTTTTAATAAATTTCAATTTTGGACTATATTTTTTTTTTTTTTTTTTTTATATAAATTCAAATTTGTTGAGGAAATTTTCGGTACCACTCAGAGATTTTTGTTGCGATTTTTGAAATGCTGTCACTTACCAAGAGATGTGGAGTGGGAAAATCCAACAATGTAGCTCGATTGGCCTACTGCCAATTGGCGAATCAGTCATTTCGTTATTATTCAGATGATAAGTGTGAAGAGAAGCCTCAAGAGTCGAAATGTGGTTTGGTATTGAATGAATACACATGTGGACAGAAACCCACTGAGCCGTACGTTCCCAAGCCGGCAGCGAAACAGCCACCTTTAGTTTCAATGTGGACGATCAAGGACTGTGACCAGGATCTCTCTTGCGCCATGGATCTGCGCTACGATATGAAATACTATTCCATATCCGACAAACTGAAGCGCAAGTATCAGGTAACGTGGAACGAGTGTCCTCGCCTGCTGATCAAGCCGAAGAAAGTTTGCCTCTATGAGAAAATGAAGCGCCCCAAAATCGAGCGCCGTCCGCGTGGAGCCATGACCGGTGGCACGCCCCAAAAGCCACCAGAAACCCTTGATAAAGCCAAGAGTGCGTGTGTCTATATCAAGTCTGTGTGCTGCAAGACTGGTCGCAGGCCGCCCAAGTGCAAAGCGGCGTTTCCCTCCCTGGGCAATTGCGAGAAGCGCAAGACGCCCTATCCCAGCTATTCCGAATGCATTAGGGATCCGGCCATACCCTTGCCCCCAGTGGAGTGTGGCTGCCTGAACAAAGTCTTCACCTGCGATGCATGGGCTGTACTGCGGCGGCGCGTCGCTCGAGGATTGACACCGCATAAGCTATGCGGACAAGCTTAAGACTGACCCAACAAGAGAGAGAACGAGATGGAGGAGCTGACTAGCACAGCTATCACATTGAAGCAATTGGAGCTGCCGCTTAACACATTATCGAGACTGTACGGCCTTTGACGAGTAGAGAGGTGCGAATAATTTGATAATTGGCTGAGTTTTTGGTTATGACTGCAGAGGAAAGTACAGAGTGAAATAGCTTGAGAAGCGCAATTATTATTATTTTTTTAATTTAATTTAAATTATTTCTGAATTACCGAAAAAATATATATAGATAGTTATAAGTACAACAACCGTATTTATTCATAATTAGTAATAACGAGAAACCTTTTTTTCCCCCTCGTGACTAATAGAGTAGGCTTCTTGATTTTTAAAGTTCGAGCTGCTGTCATTCGCATTTTTTTTATCTTTTTCGAAAAAAAAAAAAAACAAAAATCTTTCAAAATTTTCCCAATAAAAATGCTACAAAATCAGGTATTTCCTGCCGGTCGGCACATTTTGTGGCTGGGCATGCTGACTCGCCGGCTGTGCAGCAAAGATGCCTCTTGTGGCAAAGAGACACCGAAGTGCGACTCGAAAGGCAGCGGCAAATCGTCATGTAAGCGCACGCCCAAGCCCAAGGACTGCAAGAAGAAGCGCGCTCCCTATCCCAGTTTTTCCGAGTGCAAAAAGAACAAAATTCCGCCAAAGTCGCCAAGCGAATGCGACTGCCTGAAGCTCGATAAATAATATATTGAAGAATATAAAATATATACGAATAAATCAAAAACAAAGTTGCAAAAATATTGGGAGCAATCGATTTTTGATAAATGTATGTTGATGTCGATATTAATGGATATCGATGCAATTTTAAAACAGAGTAACCTTAGCTTGCTTTGTCGTTTTGAATCGGGTTTCATTCATTGAAATAAAAATTGACCGAGCCACACACTTTCACACTTCATCAAATTTCTAGATAAAACGAGTAATTCAAATTTTTTCGTTGTCAAAATTCAAAAAGCTAAAATGCAAACGTTTAAGCAATTGAATGAAATTTTGAAATTAGGTAAGCGGAGCCTTCATCTGGCTGCCAATTCGACGCTTTTTGATAATAGCTGCTGGGAGCTACGGAAGCAGGCCCGCCAGTCGGAGACGACGGTCGATTCGAGTCGCAACTGTAGATACGATCAGCAGTTTTATCGCCCACGCTCGCTTAATTCGGGCCTTATCTCTGACACCTGGTTGGCACGCAGAGACAATGAACTGGCCAATGATGTAGCAGACGATGCGGGTATCGATACGGACAATACGGAGTCAGAGTATCGATCGAAGCCGTCACTCGGAGATCGTTTAGATCTGATCCACTACAAGCCGATGCGCCTAAAGGATCGCTGCTACAGTCGCACTTGGACGGACTTTGAGGACCTGAAAGTCAAGCAATACATACAGCCATACGTTCCGCTTCGGCACACACCAGCGCGCAAGAAGTCCAAGCCCCTGAAGGAGTACCGACAGCCCATAACAGCCCAAAAGCCGAAGCCCCAATTCAAGAAAACCCCCACGAACGAATGCTTCCGCTGCCAACGCGTCCCCAAGTCTACCACTGCCTATTATTTTTAGGGTTTCCGTAATTGATATCATGTCGACAGTATAGTTGAGATTATTTTGGTTTCTTTCACTACATTTTCTTTATAGTTTAAAATACAACATTAATAACAGATTTTGGCTTGAGTTTTAGTTGTTATGATTTATGCAGATGTGTGGCTAGGCTATATGTGAGATTAAAGTTCAAGTATCTGAGAAATTCACAGAAATATCTTGAATGTGCTCCCCTGATTATGACAAGTTAATAAGCTAAATATTTTAATGCGCATATTAATATATTATCTATATATTTTAGTCAGTGAATGATTATATGAATACTTGATAATTTCTTGTAATCTCATTTAATATATAGTTTTAATATATTCTCACATTGATTATTATTTTTAATTAAATAAAAAGCAGCTATATTTATACAAAAAGTCTTCGTATCATGTTATTTTCCATTTTTTTAATTTTAAATATAAGCTTTTGGGATAATGGCAAGTATTTTTTATATTATACCAGAGCTTTCACTAATGTATTTTATATTAAGTGATTCTAGGAAACTAAATCTTTGTTTACAATGTAAAAAGATAATACTAGATAATAATATCTGTTATGATATTATCTAATAGTTATATTTTATATAAACCAATTCGATAAATACTAATTTATTAAACTGAAAATGTATTTACATATGTAATGCATATGCCATTAACAGTATAGGTATTAGAGGTTTTGAATAAATATCCATGGGTTTCAAAAGATAATTCCAATGTAATATTCATCGCCGCAACAGCTGTAAATAACTCTAGGATTTACCTCTTTTCAGTTTGATCTTCAGATTTTTCATTCATACTCATTCTGTCCGCTCCTCTTTTATTTTTTCGGCTTCAGCTTTCTTGACGAATTTTTTGTTCGAGCGTGGAGAATGTTTGCTGCTTAATTTTTAGCTTTATAAAAAAAAATATTTAAAATTTATTTATTATATTTGCTCCTTCCCTTATGCAAATTAGCTATATTTGGCCCGTGAACGAGCCAGCTACAATAGTTCAGCTTCAGTTTAGCTGCTCTGTCGAATCTTACATTCTAGTCTCAAATTCTAGGCTGGCTTTGCTTTTCACTTTACAAAGATGAGTAAATGCTCGTGCGTTGGGAAACACAAAATTTAGTCGAAAATTAGGTTTGCTGGAGGAAGTTTCGTTCCGGAAAAAGGAATAATGAAAATAGATCAGTAAAATTCGAAATTCAAAAGTTTTTTTTTTTTTTCTTTTGGTTTTTGGTTCAGGCCATACGTTTGGAACAACATTTTACTGACCATTTTTTATTTTTAATTTTGGCTGATCCACGATGCAATCTCTACGGAATAATTTTTCTAGCTTGACACTAGCTGCTCTACAGAAATGCTCGAAGCAATTCAATCAACAACTATTTGCATCAATCGGTTTTTCAAAGCGGGGTCTTGACACTCTGTATGGTGCCGAGTCGTGCGAGGATTGCGTGGAATCGTACCGCATATCGCCAGCAAGGGAGGACTTGAAAAGGATTGAGCCGCCCGACCCGTTTAAATCCAAGGATCCATGCTGGCAATCTCTGCGTCGGACAGAGTATAAATGCCGCACTGATCCCGAGTTTATGATTGATTCATTTGTCAATGAGCGAAAGAAGTGTCTAGCCGATCCCTGTGCATTTGACGTACCCCGTGCCGATCTGAAGTACTACAGGCCGTCCGATAAGCTCAAGAAGAAATACCCACGCACATGGATCAAGTGCGTAATGAAGCGGCGCAAGGTGAAGATGCAATGCGCATGGAAGCCAGTTAAGTACGAGCGCCGCACGTTCAAGAAATTTGTTCCAAAAGATGCGTGCGAAGCCAAACCCTGCACTTTGGGTGCCCCAGATCTAGGTCTGGTCCAATGCCTGAAGAAAACCGAGGATTCTCCCTGTCCACGGGTCACAATGCCGGGCTGCCAGCCGGGCCGTGTTCCGCCGAAATGCACTGTCGGATTCAGAAAGCCAAAGGACTGTCGCAAGCGCCTAACTAAGTATCCCGCATTCTCCGAGTGCCTCATAGATCCCTTGCCGACCGCTCCACCCGTTGAATGCAACTGCCTCAAGACTCCTTCAATGTGCAGTGTTTGGGAATACTTTCGCAACAAGAAATCTTAGGCCATCTGACCTATGCGAAATTTTATAAAATTTAGATATATAGTATATATGTGTGTATATACATACATTATATATATATATATATATATCGATATAAATTTTGAAAGAAATAATAAGCAATTATGCGGAGCCATACTTTGTGCCTGCACCAAAGTGCCTATTCATGTACTGTGACTAAATTAGAGCACCAAGCATAGGAATTGTCGAAAAAGATAAACAATATGAAATATTTCGATTTTTCGATTTTAGTTATGAATAAATTTACTAAAGGACCTGTCCAATTTCATTTCGCTTTATTTCTTTTTATTTATCTATTTTTTATTTCTGTACAAATATAAAACAGTTCCAAAGCTCATTGTGTTAATTTATGATGTTCCCGTTTATTATGTCCGAAAGTATTTGAATGCTACTTCAAGGGATAAAGGAAAACATATAGCAGGAGGCGTGACCCTATGAAATATATTGATTATATATTACAATTTGCATCAATTTCATGTCCGTTAATCTGTCATTTCGTTGTTCCATCAGGATGAGCATCGTTCCGTCCTTCCCTCATACCAAACCGTCAGACGTTCATTCCGTTCATTCGTCACTCCGTCTGTGTCTCCATCCATCTATCCGTCTGTCGTTTCGCTCGTACGTTCATCCAAACGTCTTTCCATTAGTCTGTCCGTATTTCCGTTGCGTCTATACATCTGACATTCCGTGCTTTTAGTCCGTCTGTCCGTTTTTCCCTCGCACTAATTCGTGCGACGATCATTCCGTTCCTCCGTCACTATCCTTCTGTTAGTCTGTTCCGTACATCTTTTAATCCGTCCGTTCAACTGTCCGTGAAACTGCAGTCCCCACTTTTCCCTCTTGCAGTTTTTCTTTTAGTTTTAAGTATTCGATTCTTCTTTTGACATTCCAAAACAAATTATTGTACAAAATTCAAAAAAATGGCTTTATGCCCCAGGCTAATGTCAGGAATACTGGCGCGGAGCAGTGCCGCCATGGCCAGAAGTTTGGTGTTTTTCTCAAAACGATACGGCCACTCGAAGAACTTTGACGTCGACCCAGGCAAATGTTGTAAAATTCGTGACGCCGAGTCGCAGAAATGCCTTGAAGCAAAAATGACCGGATGCAAGCCGAACAAGCTGCCGAACGACTGCATCAAACATGAGGATCCGTTGCACTTATTTTTAGAGCAATATCCCAAGCAACTGCTGAAGATCATACGACCCCTTGAGGAGAAGTGTGAGCTCTACAGGCACGATGCGAGATATTACGAGCCGTCGGACAAGACGCGCCGATACCAACGCACGTGGCCCGAGTGCCCGCTCATTTGGCTGCGCCCACGAAAGATCTGCTGTCCCGAGCCGGAGCACCATGTGCCAGCGGAGCGGCGCACACGGAAGCCGCCCAGCGGGCCGACTTCGATGACGGATAGATTTGCGCACAGAATGAAGCTGCTGTGCGAAGAGACGCGCTGGCACACCAAGCCAGAGCTGAAGTGCAAAACGGCCAAGACGCCATCGCAGTGCGCCAAGGTGATGGCGCCATTTCCCAGCTTCTCCGAGTGCAAGCAGCTCTTCACTCCGCGCTACTGTGACACCGAGTGCGCCTGCCGGGCTGTGCCCAGCCTGTGCGAGATATGGCGGCTCTATCATCGCAACTCGGAGCTGACGAAGAGCTGCACGAAGGCATTAGTCAACTACTGTCCGTACAAGCGTCGGGCACGCCCTTTGCGCTGAATAGCAAGTCAAGGGGCTATGAGACGAGAGCCATTTCGATTTTACGGAAAAGTTTCCCTTGGCCCAGGCCTGGGTAATTATTATCAAAATTCGTATTCGGTCATGGAGCTAAATTTCAGAACATTTCGTCTGCTGTCCCCGCACAGAAACTTCTTGAAAGCAGCTGGCAACTGTTTTGTGAGGCTTCGTTGCTTATCTGGCGGCCGGAATCCGCCCGCTGATCCGCCCTGCCAGCACCAGGATCGGGACTGCCATGCCGTCGACGACCCATGTGAGTCGGCACGCAATGTTTTCAAGTACTTGCTGCCCTTCGATAAAAACATGCAGCGACAGCGGCAGCAGAATCTGCTCGAGGTGCCCTGCTGTGTCTCACGCTTGGCGGCCAAGGCGCCCTGTCCGGCCCAGCCCTGCCTCTGGAATAAGCGCATCCGGGAACAGCATGTGGAGAAACCGCCGTTTCGGTCCATGTGGGAGCCACACTTCGGTCCCGCGCGCTCCAACTGCAAAGGCCGCTTTCCCCGCTTCGATGCCATCTACTACGAGCCGTCGGACAAGACCCGAATATATCAGCGCACCTGGAGCGAATGTCCGCCAGTGAAGGAACGCCTAAAGAAGGTGTGCTGCCTGGATGGCATTCAGCCGCCAGAGGTGCTGAAGCGTGTCAAAGAGCCCTGCCCCCTCGTGACCTGCAGATTCGACTATTCGCGCATGCGCCACATCTGCGAGAACGCCGTAATTGACCCGGCCTCGAAGTGCTGCAAGATCCACTGGCCCTGCTGCAAGCCGGCGCGCTGCACCGTGGACTGTCGTCCCACCAGAAAAAGGGAGCACTGTACGAGGCTACGAGCGCCCCATCCCTGCTTCTCGGACATGTACCGAGTGGCCAGAGCTCGACGCTCTATTGAGTGCCCCCTGGGCAACTGGTCAATGTGCGAGGGCATTCGGCTGCAAATCAGACGCGATACCTACAGCCTAAAGGGCTCTTACTGTTAGTGCCGGCAGCTATGACCAGGATCCATGTATGAACTCAGTCCGCATGGCCTGACAACACTACTGATCCTGGACATGGCTGTCAATTAGCGGACGAGCCCAGCCTATGCTAGCCCTAATTCCTAAGTCGAGAGTCTCTACTGTCTCTACTGATATTACGATATATTCGCAAATTGCAACGGTGAATATTTATTGCTTTTCTGGATGTCAATTTTAATAAAAAAAAAATATTAAAAAAGACAATCTAAAAAAAAATCGAATCGTTTCGTGTATTGATATCATATTTTAGGGATCTGTGATAATAATTTTAGCTGAAAAATACCCAGTGCCGTCCTCCAGTCTCTGAAGTGCGCGCAGCAGTGCATATCGCATTATTTGCTTCGACTGCGGATCATTCATGTTCGTGTCGATGACAGTTTTGCCAGATTTGTTAACAGCGCTCTCATTGGTCTCAGTGGTCTCGATGTTCTCGGCTCTCTCGCTGTTGTCAGCCCTCTCAGCTCTCACATCTGGTTTCGCATCACTGTCAATCTTGACCATCGACATGTTTGGCTCCTCATCGGTTGCTTCGGGCGTCTCATTCGACTCGGCACCCGCTACAGGCACCTCGATAGTCTTGAAGGGCTTATAGGCTGGTATAAAGTCATCCTCAATATTGATTCGCTGAATCGGCTTGGAGTTGTCTAGCCGATTTAAATCTTCGCTTTTGGCAAGAGACAGAGTCTTGAACTCTTTGGACAAATGCTTTAAGCTCTCGCTATGATTCACAACCTTGAGCATGGCAGCATGAAGTTCGCCAATTCGACGCGACGCCTCGGTGAACTCATTGCTGCTCTTCGGTAGTTGGGCGGTAAGATCCGAGGAGGGATCATTGATGTCCATAAACGGGCTTTCGTCGTACATCGTGATTCGCTTGTCCATAGATGCGGTATTTACCTCGCTGTTGACGATTTTTCCGAGCTGCTGACTGTCGTCAGTGTTAGCTAATGCCTCGACATCGTTTCCTTCATTATTCTGGGCAAGTAAAATGGAATTTCCCTCATCGTGAAATTCGAACTTGTCGAAATCGGCCTTAAAACCGAAATTTAAATTCACTTTGGGTTGCTCATCGAATTCGACGCCTACCAATCGACCCAGGGTTGTCTTTTCGCCATCTGCACTATCGCAGCGCTTAATTATGGACTCGATCCGTCGTGCTAGCTCGGTTTCCAGCTCTTCCTCACTGTCCTCGGCGTTAATCAGCTCGTTTTGGACAGCCTGCAAGTCCTGCACTGCACTTGCCTCCGCCACCTCATCATAGTTTGTCGCGAAGTCTCTTTTGCTTGGTTGACCCAATTCAGCATTCAGATCGCCGCTGCTGAAGCTCCGACATGCATCATTGACATTCCGTTCACTCGATTTATTTGGTATTTCATTGGAACTGGACGTGTACCTCGTTGATCCGATCTCATTATGTTGTCCCTGGCAATTCATTCTGCTATCGGCGTTACATACTCCTCCATCTCGTGCTCGGGTGTGCTCGGCGGCGGAGCACCATAGGATGGGCATCCACGACGATGAGGCCAGGCTGCAGCGACTTATACTGTGTAAGCAATGAGCTATCCCAGGTAAGCGGGACATCGCAGCGGCCGCTTCTTTATGTCTTATATTGATAATTTAGGTAACGGAAATTTGGAAATTGCCCCAAAAAAGAATTATTGAAAAATGTGCCAACTTATATTATAATATATCAATCACACATTCCTGATGGAACACACTCAACCGACAGAGGCTGCTTCGATTTGACATGTACTGAATGTCAACATCATGTTTTTTTTAAAGGCTGATAAGATATGATTATAGGAAGGCATTGGAAAATCTTTTCTATCCACCGATAAATGAGGGCTCTGCCTATAAGACTTTCTTTAGTAACCAATAAAAAGCCCAGTATATTACGAGATCTGTCAAAAAATTTACGCGGCACTAGAGAGACCCTTAAAAGAACGACGCTACGATGAATGAGAAGAGAGCCTCAAAGCAGAAGCTGATCAAGATTACAAAGAAAACGAGGAGTAGAGTCGACAAGAGTCGCAATACTTTCTAAACAGACCTCATATATAAAAGAAATATCAAGCATACGAGCAAAAGTAGTTTCAAATCAGATCAAATATGTATTTTGTAAACTCATATACACATTCTAGATCATACATGTGAGCACCTTTGGACTTGCCAATAGAGCAAGTCCATTGTAACTATATTGCATCTTTTACATATGCATCTAAATTATGCACTGTAGTTGAAATGGATTTGGTCTATTTGCAGGTGGGGCATTCGCAAAATTTGGATTGAATCGCATCTCTTCTGATATCAGCGCGATGGGCATCGCACGTTGAGAACAGTTTAAGGCAACGGCATTCTGCGGGACGTTGGGGTATATCAGCCGGATCCAATTGCCTGCACTCCGAATAGCTGGGATAGGGACACTTGGGCTTGTCACAGACCTTCGGACGTCGCACTATGTCGCAGGTCGGAGGAACGCGCGCTGCTCTGCAGCCGGGTAGCTGCACTCGCGGGCAGCCCAGAGCTTTTTCGTTGGAGCAGTCGAGGCGCGACTTTTTGTGATCTGTGGAGCACACGCCGGTCGAAGAAGAACTGGGAGGACTGCGGATGTGGTTCTCGGGCGGTATAGCATCGCACCAGCAGCAGACCCGCTTGGGCACCATTTTGGGACAGCATTCCCACCAGGTGCGCTGGTATTGGCGGCACTTGTTTGACGGCCGGTAGTAGAGCACATCGAACGGGGTATGCGGACACTTTGGACAGCACTCGGGCGGATAGGTCCACAGCGCTAGCTGCTCCTTGGTGGGATTGACCGCATCCTCCCACATGGACTGGAGCTGATCGGTCTTATTTTTTATTCTGTTGTTCTGGGCAATCCGATCGGTCGCCTCGTAAAACGACTTCCGGTGCACTCTGACGGGATAGCGCGTCTCCGACTGACAGGTCTCATCGCTACAGGGATGCTTCTTGGGGCAACATATGGGCTCTTGAAGCTTTTCGCATTTATCTTTCCTAGGCGTCTTGGAGTCACTTGATCGGCTATTGTCTTTTTTCTTGGCCAAGTGACTTGTGCTGTGCAGCTTTGCATTCGGCGCATGGATCGTCCCTAATGGCCTGGGTGAGCCTAGGACCAGTTTCCTAAGCATGGTGATAATTTAGAGCCGTCGAATAAAATAAAAGAACTGATTTAAAATTTCATTTGGAATTTTGAATAATGTGAGTCAAACAACTTTGTCGAAAATGTTCTTTAAATGCCCTACGGAGCGCCTACTTGAGTCAGGGTAACTGAAAAGCAATGCTTAGGTGTATTCGATTAAGTTTTTTGTTACCATTCAAAATGGGAAAGCAGGGCATATTGTTCTTGTGAAAGCTTATGTAACAGGCAGGAGGAGGCGTGGTAGACATCATAAATGATATATCGTCAGCTGAGTTGATCTAGCCAGGTCCGTCTATTTATTTGTTCGTCCGTCTGTCCGTATCTCAGAAAATGTTAGAGCTAGAGTCTTGAAATTTTACATGTGGACTTGTGTGCACTATAAGCAGTACGTCTATATGATATTTTATCGATAACTCCACCCATTCCGTTTTTATCGATGACAATCGATTATTTTATTTATTTTTTTAAAGTAGTTTTCTATACTTTTAGATCTACAGTCTTCACATTCACGGTGTAGATGCATGTGACAAATACACAGATTATGTGATTTAAAGATTTTGGATACCACGCCCCCTTCGCCAAAAATTTGGAAAAAAAAAACACAAGTACTTCAAGTATTTCCTTGTGTTTAGAAAATCACACATTTTTAAAAATTATTTTCAGACTCAGAGAGTTTAAAGGAGACAGTCCCACTATAGAAGTGAAATAAGTTTTCGTAATATCACCTACACTGCAGCGCAAGCGCAGTCGCTGCTAGCTGCGCAGTTAGCAGAGCGCCTGCATATGCCTGTGAGGCTGCATGGCTATGTATGTATAAGAG